AGCTCTCACAGTGTCATTTATCCCAGGATAGAAAACATTGTAAATTTATGTGGAGCCCACATACATGCTTCACTTCTCAAGTCTTGCCCACTGTGCAAGGGACACCTGCAAAGCCAATGCCTGGATCCTTCGTTTCTCAGCTCTCAGGTCTCATTGTGCTGTGACTCAGCACAGTGTCAAGTTTTTATTCACCCCCACCCCGTCCCAACACCTGCTTCAGAAGAACTTCTTGACCGAGGATGAGTCAGGATGTGGCATTTCCATCAGAGATCAAGGTTACACGAGGCTGGTTTGCCTGGCTGTAATGTGGGATCCCAGCGAATGTGGCCCGTGCATCCTACGTGCATGGATACAGCAGACCTTTTTCAGCTGTTTGCCTGTGGGCCCCTCTTACCTCCTCTCAGTACTCCCTTCAACTGTTGCAGTTATGGGAATACGGTCAAACCTCAGACACCCCCAGCCTTAGTCTAACTCTGCTTTGGCAAAGGTATGACCAACAACAGCTGTGAAGATATCTCCTGTTGTATACAGCTGACCCCAGTGATGCTCTCACCTGTTTTCCCACGCTGTAGCCAGGCCCATGGCTTCCTTCCTTTTGTTTGCAAGTTTGCTTTTCAGCCCAGCTGTAGATCTGTTCTGCCTGGGTTAGGTCTGAGAAATTCTCTCCTCTCCCACAGTGCGCTCTGGGACATTGAGACGGGGCAGCAGAAGACTGTGTTCCTGGGTCACACCGGAGACTGTATGAGCTTGGCCGTCTCTCCAGACTTCAAACTCTTCATCTCTGGGGCTTGTGATGCTACTGCCAAACTGTGGGATGTGCGGGAGGGCACCTGCCGTCAGACCTTCTCAGGGCATGAGTCCGATATCAACGCCATCTGCGTATGTACGCTGTCTGCACACTGGTAGGGAGGCAAGGAGGGTGGACCAGCTCTGGGACAAGGTCAGAAGAAGCTGTTGCAGTGGTGTGGGGAACAAGGTTCTCAGGAGACCTTGGCCCCATGATCCAGCCTGAAGCAGGGAGGGTTGAGTTCACTGAAGTTTGGAGGCTGGCTCTTCGCCAGCACCAGGGCACCAAAGCATCTAGGTCTGACTCAAAGCACTGCTTGGACTCAGCTATCACACCATAGTCTGTGGAGCTCAGCACACTAACACAGGTGCTGGTGCAGCTTTGCTCATAGCAACTGTTGGGAACCATGGTTCGGGCGTGCTCCAGGAGCCCTGGCGAAAGACACAAGCGAGGCAGCAGGAAAAAAAATCAGCTCCAGACAGCAGAGGTGGGAACTTGGGATCACAGGGAGGTCTTCTGAAGATGAAATCTTCATAGGAGGCAGTACAGACATTTGGGGGCGAGTATCCCCCTCAGAGGCAAGGATTCAAACTAGAGCCCTAGAGGTAGCAGGACAAGAAACATGTCAGTTTAATCCCGTGCGGCTAACCAAATGAGTCTGCCAGCTTCCTGCAATGTTTGCTGCTTGAACCACCCTCCACTGACTTCAGTTAGTACAGCATTTCTCACCTGTCCCATGGCTACCCCGCCAGCCATATGGGTTTCCTCCT